TCATGAGAAGAGAAGACTCCCTGGAGAAGACACTGATGCTGGGAAAGATGGAGGGCACAAGGAGAAGGGGGGCGACAGAGGGACGAGATGGTTGGATAGTGTTTTCGAGGTTACCAGCATGAGTTTGACCAAACTGCAGGAGGTAGTGGAGGACAGAGGTGCCTGGCGTGCTCTGGTCCATGGGGGTCACGAAGAGTCGGGACACGACTAACGACTAAACAACAACAACAACACAAAAACATGCATTCCTCATATGAAATAACGCCCTCAATGAGACCAAACTTTCATCAGTAAAAACATCACACAGTCCACATTCCAACGCCTACTTCACACAATTAAACGCTCATTCCCATCTGGACTCAGAAAAACACCCTGGATGGGAAATGAGGCTGCCCATTTGGAGAAGCAACGAAACTGGGTTCACCTGCTAGAGAAGAAAGTGATTTTTTTTACAACTTTTAGTTTCTTCTCCTGGCTAGATTTCACAAAATGTTTTTAAGAGGTATGCGTACCCCTGATCCCCCCAGAAAAAAGCACTGAATATGCTGATAAACTCACTCGCTACCTTCCAAGAAAAATGATCTTCAGAGAAAAGGGAATGGCAGTCTGGGAAAAGGGCAACTTGAAAGAAGGAGTAGGACATCTCAGCATAAGACTCCTTCCTGCCTTTGGCATATATCTAATAAATATCCAGATACACTCCAATGGACAGAGTGGAAGATTCATTCTATATTGGCCCGAATTGAGGATATTGGAATAAATATGCCCAGGTTAGAGGCCCCAAACTCCAACCCTGCTAGGAATCTGTTTTCTGAGTCTGGGCCAGAGGAGGCAAGGAAGCAGTTGCAACCTCAATGTACAGAATTATTTGCCCAGAGGAAGAAGAGATTGTGATGGTTGTAGATGACTCCCTACTGAGGGGAAGAAAGACAGATGTCGTGCAGAGGTAACAGGATGCCCTGGGAAGGTGTGTTTGTTTCCCACATATCTTCATTAAAGCCCACTGACAACACCCCTTCCTTCTTATTTGTGTGGGGTACAATTTGATAGTGCCAGACAACAGCCTATAATTATAGCAAGGACTATGAGACTCTGGGCAGGAAAGCTGAAGGGCCTTCTGGCGAGGTGTTTTTTTTTAATCAACTCGCTTCCTGTTGGAAGGTCATGGCCCAGAGGAAGAAGAGGAAAATTACTGAAGTAAAAGCCACTGGCTGCACAGTTGGCGTTATCGGGAAAGGTCTTCTGCAAGAGCATGGGTTCTACCTCACAGTGGGGTGACGTAACATGCTTGCTTAAGAACCTCACAAACCTGATCAGAAGAAATTTTAAACTAAATGCCTGACAGTGAGGGAGAATAATATTACAGATGACAGAAGGAAAACACCTGGTACTGGGGATTATAGCTTCACTGATGCACAGAAAACTGTGGTGGTAGCTACAGAACCCTATAAAAAGCAGGAACTACAAGAAGGAGCAGCTGAAAGGGAATGACTAATGTTTTCAGTTGCCTTCTATAACAATGGCACAGAGTATGGGAAACAAGCAAGAAAAATTTGAGCTCTTAATATCGGATGGCAGATATGACCTTAGATAGTCATTACTGTAACCCTGGTGGGATGAGACTCATGACTGGAATGTAAAATGGAAGGGTTATAACTGTTCAAAAGGAAATAGACCAAACAGAAGGAAGGTGTATTCAGCATATATGATAGATCCACAACCTGGAGCACAGAAGGTAGATTGAGAAATATAGCGGGTAAAAATTGTTAGGATGGAACAACAATTACCTTTACTGGGGGTGTCTGCTATAGACCTCAAATAAGCCAGCCCTGAAGATTGGCTTCCCTAGAGCAGATTACCGTACTTTCAAAAGAGAGAGATATAGTAGTCATGGAATGCACTTCCTTGGAAGGTGGTAGACTCACCTTCCTTGGAGGTTTTTAAGCAGACGTTGGACGGCCAACTGTTGTGGATGCTTTAGTTGAGATTCCTGCATTGCATAGGGTTGGACTAGAAGACCCTTAGGGTCCCTTCCAACTCTACAATTCTGTGATTCTCTGAAATCATTCTTGATTATTGACCATGCTGACTGGGGCTGATGAGAGTTGGAGTCTAGAATATCCCAAAGGCACCACATTAGGGAAGGTTGCTCTAGAATATGCTTTTGCGATTGCATCTTTAGTGATGAAACATGATCCAAAACCTTGTTAAGCCTTATGAAATCACAAAAAAAGTTAATTCATATTTGCATGTTAAATTCAGCTGAGGTTCAGAATATGCAAGGAGATGCTGGTGGTAGAGAATAAAATATTAAGATTTATTTGTTTTTAATTTAACTTCCTCTTACAGCTTGGGAATGATTTTTGATCCAGCTTCGCATCTGGAGGTTAAGGTCATGGGCAGAAATGGTCAGGCGTATTTTACACTAGGTCCTGCTCATATGCTAGTTGTGTTCTCTTCTAGCTAGTAGGTAGAGGTGTACCCTACATCCATTTTGACAACCAGGAAATAGCTCTTTAATCTTCCAGTTGGTCAGCTCCAAGCATAATACAAGGGGCTGACCTCTGAAGCTGTGAAGGCCTTGGTCCTGCAGTATATTTTTGACTTCATTTTATTTCCATTCCTAAGAATTTGGGTAGGGGGCGATGCAAACTTTATAAGCTCATCAAGGGATTGATGAACTCTGAAGCGTGGAGTAAAGGAATATGCAAATAGCTTGGAACTGACCCTCATTCCTGGTCTGAAGTTGTGTGCATGTGCGAAGTTTATGGGGACTTACTGGAAACCACTCAAACCTGAAGACTGGTTCTACAAATGTATTGCTAAAGAGATCAAAAGCTGCAGTCAGTCACGTTTGGAACAGCTCTAGATTCTGCTTTCATTTGGGAGCTGGTTCATTAAAGTAAAACTGTGTTTGCTGTTATTCAAAGTCTCTGCTTCTGTTTGATTTGGCCTGTTCATCCGTTCTTATGAATCACTGCTCACAAACAGATTTGTGAATGGGTTTCTATTCATACCAGAATGGCTCTTACACCTCAAATAATCATGTCATTATGTTTAAGAAGGTTGTTGTGTTGTTTGGTTAAGGAAGGGGGTTCACAAATATTTTCCCTATTGAACTTTATAATTTTTGTTGTTGTTGCTGCTGCTGCTGCTGTAAAACTATTTCCCCCAAAATTCTTATCCAGTCAATGTTTAGATCAGGGTGGGATTCAACTAATGAGCCCCATAGGCAAAAGTCTTGCACATGGGTGCCCAAATGGGCAATGGAGCTTTTCCACCTCTTCTTCTCCTGCGCATCTCCTGAAATTGGTTTAGTGGGGTCTGCAGAACCCTTAAACAGTGCATTGGGAAGAAGAAGGGGGATTGTCCCATCTGGCAAGCTGCAATGGTTGTGCAGATGAAATGTTCATCACAGCATTATGTTGAATTCCACCCTATGACTGGGGAACCTGTGCCCAGTCAGATGTTTTTGGACTACAACTCCCATCATCCCTGACTGTTGGCCATGCTGACTGGGCCATAGGCTTTCCATTGCTGATATAGACTTAGGTACATTCCTGTATAGCATGAATAGCATATTAGACTTCCTTCTTAATGAGGATGTGAGTGACATGCTTAGTAAATAGCTGACATCGTCAAACTTCCCCACAAACTTAATGCAAACAAATCAGGATGAATGCTCAATAAACAGGTTGTCTGGAAGTGCCCCAAAAGTTGTACAGTGTGTGTGTGTGTGTGTGTGTGTGTGTGTAATACACACACATGGATACACGCTGTAAACATAGGGTGATCAAGCAGACCACAATCCATGGCTGGTGAGCTATGTTTGTGTGAATGAGACATGTATGAGCTGTGCCTGAACTCTCATAGTTGTTTTTAAAAGTGTTTAAAAGTCACCTTTGAGGGACTCTGTTTTGAGTAGCCAGATCTGCATTATTATTATTAATAATAATAATAATAATAATAATAATAAATTGTCATCATCGTACTGGTAGTATATTTATATCCCACCCATCTGGCTAGGTTTCCCCAGCCACTCTGGGTGGCTCCCAACAGAACATTATTATAATTATATATTATATATTATTATAATTATATTATGTAATAATAAAGCAATGAAGCATTAAACATTAAAAACTTCCCTAAACAGGGCTGCCTTAAGATGTCTTCTAAAAGTCAGATAGTTGTTTATTTCATTGACATGGGAGGGTGTTCCACGGGGCGGGTGCCACTACCAAGAAGGCCCTCTGCCTGGTTCCCTGTAACCTCACTTCTCACAAGGAGGGAACTGCCAGAAGGCCCTCAGAGCTGGACCTCAGTGTCCAGGTAGAACAACGGGGGTGGAGATGCTTCTTCAGGTATACTGGTTTGATTGGCGCAAGGGCAACCAATCATGAAGCTGCTTCACCAGCTTCTCAAAGCAGAGCACTGTACAGCACTGGCTGGCCCTTGTGTCAATCACAAAACCTCCTGGATTCAATTTTAAGGCAAAGGGGGAAAGCCTTCAAAACAAAACAAAACCAAGGTGTGAGCACTTAAATAGATGAAGCCCCATAAACCTAGCGTGGGTACATTTGGCCTTCTAGATGTTGCTGGACTATAATTCCCATCATCTATGGCCATTGGTTATGTTGGCTTGGGCTGATGGGAGCTGGAGTCCAACAGCACCTGGAGGGTCACATGTTCCCCACCCTTAGTCTATGCCAGGGTTTCCCAAACATGGGCCTCCAGCTGTTGTTGGACTACAACTCCCATCATCCTATCTATCCAGACCAGTTGTCCGGGATGATGGGAAATGTAGTCCAAAAGCTGCTGGAGACCCAGGTTGGAGAAACCGTGGCCTATGGCATGAAACAGAGCCATAGTCCCCTGTTGCTATTCAATTAGGAGTGCCACAAACTGCTACTTCCTGTATGGCAGATTGCCCAGGTGTTAGGTATTTCTTTCCGATAGGTGTAAGCTTGTCACTTGCCCATTTCAGTGGCTGATACCCAGATTTTTCTTCTTTTCAAACTCCCAGGATGTGGAAGGCACAGGACTGGCTTTCATCACTTTCACGGAGGCCATGACCCTCTTTCCAACCTCCCCATTCTGGTCGGTGCTGTTCTTTTTCATGCTGCTGGAACTTGGGGCTGAGCACTATGCTGGGGAACATGCAAGGATCATCACTCCATTGCTGGACAACTTCCACAGCCTCCAGCGCCGGCGGACCCTCTTCACAGGTATGGCAGAACCATAACCAAGAGACGGAACAACATCCATCAGGGGGCAGAAGAGTGAGGTGGATGGGTTTTTATTTTGCAAAACAACAAAGTTCTGTAGTGTTGTACAGATGAAAGCAAACATCAATAAGGTACAACAGAGGCACAATAAAAATACTTCAAATATGTAATTGTCAATCTCTCTTTAGCTGTAAAAGGCTCCCACTTACAAAGGTTAGTAATAAGGCAGTCCCTGGCCTCAGGATTGCTGTCTAAAAGGCACAGCGCTCAAAGAAAAGGGACTGGCAGGCAGGAGGAAAAAATACAAACTCAAACACTAGTTTTCAGTTTACGAAGTTCTTGTAATCTTTCTCTGTGTCTCCTGTCAAGACTGGGGTGTTGCGTTCTGAAGGCAAAGGAAGGACTGGACCCTGATTAATACAATAGACACGAGGCTTGACCAGCAAGACCTGGGAGAAAGTGCGCATGCCACTCCCTGGCCCAGGCCATTTTTATTAACCAAAGGACTTTAACACAGCGTTTGTAAGAACCAATTCAGATTTCCTCTGAGCATTTCAAAAATCCCCACGTGGGGACAGATCAGAGGAAGCCTCTTAAACTACAAAGAACTATTTCCTATTTGAGCATGCATACATGTTCAAGCTAAATAAAACAGGAACCAAGGAGGAATACATTTAGCAAACCCCAGAAGTCATAAACAGGCAGTAAACAAGAAAGCCAGGCATTTTATCACCTCCACGTGAACTCTGTTTCCTAGCCCTAAAATCTACCTAAAGATTAACAAAAGCTACATCAAAGCTACCACCTTATCTTTATGTACCCAGGATGCCTGGTGAAGCAACTGGTCTGTATAGAATGCTTTATACGTGACTGTCAGGCATAGAGAAAATGCGGCAGAGGCTTGTGGGATTGATGAGAAGTCATGTCAATGACTCAAAACCCAGTCAAAGCAATGCTTTCACTGCTGACACAATGGCTTGCTTCATTTTTCATAATTCCTCATAGCAATCCTGCCTGACCACTACACCGGGGCCCCTGCGGTCCAACAGGTGTCCAGCCAAGCCAACCTGCTCTCCTTTTTCTCTCTCCCCACAGTGCTGTGTTGTATTATTGGATTCCTGCTGGGCCTGGTTTTCGTGCAACGGTCAGGCAGCTATTTTGTGTCCATGTTTGACGACTACTCTGCTACCCTGCCCCTGCTTATTGTTGTGGCTTTTGAAGCTTTTGCCGTGGCCTGGATCTACGGAGCAGACAGGTAATTCTCTACCCTGCTTTCTCAAGAGAGGGGTGGGCAGGTGGGAGAGAATGTCTACCTTGTGGCTTGGGCAGAGCCTGTTTTTCTTCTCCCCCTGTGCTTCCGGGGTATCTTAACACCTAAGGTGCCTCGTCTGCCATCTTGATCCTTTTCCCTTCGTCCGCAGGTTCTTAAGCGACATAGAAGACATGCTGGGCTGGCGGCCTTGGAGGATCTACAGCTACATGTGGCGCTTTGTCAGCCTGGAGCGATGCTGTGCCTGCTGCTAGCGAGTCTGGTGCACATGGCTATGAAGTGGCCCACCTACCAGGCCTGGAACAGAGAAAAGGTAAGAGGCGCACTCCACCCAGTCACACCCCTTCATGTTTCCGACCAATAGCAGCTGCCCTGGCCGCTTTTCATTTTAAAAAATTAAGCATAGTCTGGGGACCGCTCCACTGTATAAAGAACCAGGAGTCCTGTGGGACCCTAAAGCCTACTTCATTGTGAGCTTTTGTGCATACAGGAAGGGGATAAAAGTGGCAATGTGGGTGAAGTGCAAGAGGGAACTGAGTGGCGGAGCCCTGCTCCCCAACTTCCACCAACAGGTTATCAAGCTATACCCTCTGTACCCAGATGTGGCAATGACTTTTCTTGCACATAGTCCCCATGGGTACTTCTGCTGCATATCCTAAGCATCAGATGTTTTGATTTGGATCTGAAAGTCACGGGCTGAAAACTGCCATGGATTCACTAGGTGACCTTCTCCAATCCACTGCCTCTTTTCCACTCTCTGTAACAAAACAGTAATGGTGATATATTTCTTGGTTGCTAAAGAGTCAAGATCCAGGGCTTTTAAAGCTTTAATCCAGGGTTTCCCAAATTTGGGTGACTACCTGTTGTTGGACTACAACTCCCATCATCCCTAGCTAGCAGGACCAGGAGTCAGGGATGATGGGAATTGTAGTCCAAAAACAGCTGGAAACTCATGTTTGGGAAACCCTGCTTTAATCCACAAATGCAGTATTTTTTCCAGTGGCATTCTGGGGAGGGAGCCCTCTGGCTCTCTGAACGCGTGTTGAGTTGCTCAGTAATAGCAGACAAGCTTCCCAAAGAAATGGATTACACTTGATTATAGTGGTACCTCGGGTTAAGAACTTAAATCATTCTGGAGGTCAGTTCTTAACCTGAAACTGTTCTTAACCTGAGGTACCACTTTAGCTAATGGGGCCTCCCGCTGCCACCGCCATGCGATTTCTGTTCTCATCCTGAAGCAAAGTTCTTAACCCGAGGTACTATTTCTGGGTTAGCGGAGTGTGTAACCTGAAGCGTCTGTAATCCAAGGTATCACTGTACCAGGTCTTCCATTACCAGGACTATCTTTCCATACCATTTGGATCTAGAAGAGTGTTTTGGTTTTGCTCTGGGTTAGTTTAGGGAAGCCAACCATGAGACCCAACTGGCCTAACAATGTAAGAAAAGAGCTCTGCTGGATCATGCCAGTGGCCCGTCTAGTCCAGCATCCTGTTCTCACAGTGGCCAACCAGGTACCTATAGGAAGCCTGCAAGCAGGATGTCAGCACAACAACACTCCCCCCACCTTGTGATTCTGAAACTAATATTCAGAGACATAGTGCCTTCTTCAGTGGACGTAGACCATAGTTTCCATGGCTTGTAGCCACTGACCGCCTTACCCTCAATGAATTTGTCTAATCCTCTTTTAAAGCCATCACTACATTTTGTGGGAGCAGATTCTAAAGTTTTAACCATGCACAGTGTGAAGAAATATTTATTCTCCCTGTCCTTAATCCTGAAACATTCATCTTCCTTGGATGGCCTCAAGGGAGGGAGAACAATCTTTCCCTACCCACTTTCTTCATATCATGCATGCACTTATATACCTCCATCCTGCCACACCCCTTTTCTTGCCTTTTCGCTAAATGTTACAGAAATTTTGTAACCTTTCCTCATAGGGCAGTTGCTCCAACCCCTAGATCATTTCTGGTTGTCCCATCCTGAACCTTTTCTCAGCTCAAAAAGAGAACTGTTTGAATTCCACAGGCCATATTGCTGATAATGTCAATTCTCTAAGTAAGATGAGGGCTGATGGGGAAATTTTCTGGCTGTGCAGCCATTGAAGGCCTAGTGCATCTTGGACTGAGAGAAGCCTGATTCAGAGTCCAGATGGGCCCACTAAATTTCCATTCCTACATGGTTGATAGTAAATTTCAGTTTTGAAAACCAGTAATAATTCTTGGTTGTCTCCCTTTCCAGGCAGAGGAGCAGATGCTGGAATATCCTCCCTGGGCCCTGGGCCTCCTCGTAGGCCTCATTGTTCTGGCTGCTCTCCCCATCCCAGTGATGTTTCTCCGGCAGCTTTTGAAGGATTGGTTTGCCCAGCGTGGCAGCCGGTCTGGCATGGTGATGGCGCCTGTACCCACAGAGGATGACGACGAGGTGGCAGAAAGAGAGAGCCCCGCTGATACTGAACACCAAGGCAACGGGTACTTGCTTGTCCAGGCAGAAGATGGGCAAGACTGACGGGAGGCACTTCCAGCTGGAATGTACCACGTGGAGGACATCGGACCTGCTCCGGCTCCTCGATCCTCCTGACCATTGGCTATATTTTCCAGCCTCTGATAGCGGCGACCATGTTTGTTTAGACACCCACCCACACCCCCAGTGTGCTATTTATGGCTTACAAGGCTGGTGCAGCTTTGGGGGGGGGGAAGCGATGTGAGCATGAAGACTTTCGTGCAGCTGGCCCCAATGCCTCCTTCACACCTGCCGCAACCAAGGAGATGAAAAATGAATGAAAGAGGACCTCAGAAGTGATGTGGGGGCAATCCAAGAAAAGCTGCTGGATTACTAATTGTTTTTAAAGAACACCTTGTGGCTTTCACTGCTGCCACTGAGCCCCATTTCCCTTCGCTAGAATCGCGATGCCTTGTTGCAGTGCCTCCACTAAAACGATGGCGCAGGAACGTTTGAGAGCTGAAGTTAATTTGATTTTGGAGGGCCACGCATGTTCCAGAGGCAAAAAGTGACAACTCTTGGGATTCCAGTAGTAAAGGAAAGCTTGAGATCTGATGAGGCATTGACTCACTGTTACAGGATCCTCCCGCTCTCCTTCACATTCATCCCATGTCTCCCTCCCTCCCTCCCTCCCTCCCATTGTTTTACCCACTGTCTATTGTAAGCCTCTTGAGGGCAAGGACCTATTTTTCCCCCTGATGAATCTTTGGGTGCCATATTGCTCATTCTCACCCGAAGATGGTTCAAGCTCAGCAGCTACTGGCATGACAACGCCCTTCTCCCAGGGCCAGTTTCTGTCAAGAGCCCTGCAGTACTGCTAGGTCAGGATTGGGTTTGCCGACTGATGCAGGAGGAGGAAGCAACAGGGGGCGGGGCCTGAATAGTGGGAATTGGAGGTGGAGGGATCACTCCTTTCCACTGCAACTTCAGTCACTTGGGAAGAGGGAGCGAGGGAACTTTCCTGCGGAACTGTGAGCTTGGAGCAGCCAAAGCTGAAGATTAAGCCAGAGGCAGTAACAACTGAACAGGAGCCCTAACAGGAAGGTGCAGTTTTGTCGCTTAGAACCAGGCAGCACCTTCACTGATAGGAACAAACCAACCCACCCTGAAAGAGTGCACATTTGCAATCCTGACCTCAAAGAGTGAGCCAAGTGTTACGAGTGAGTGCACTATGCTGGGTCCTTAAAAACATGGCAGGTGGAGCATGGAAACTTGTTGGGACATCTTGGTTGCTTCCGTCCAGTTCTAACCTATTCATCCTGCTCATGAACCCTGAGCTCTGCATCTGCAGCTGAGCCTGTACAGTTATTGGCCTGAGTAAATATCTCTCTCTTAGTTGCAAGAAAAAGCATCTGCTCGTTACATGTTTTTGGGCAGGAGCCAGCAAAATTCCTCAATGGAAGTCAGTATTGATGTTGAGAAAGAAATTGGTTGAGCATTTAGACTGATATAAGATACAGGATTTAGACTGATATAAGATACAGGACTAAAGAAAAACTCCATGTGGTCTAGGTTGTCTTAAAGTTACACTGTTGTAAATGCAGGGGGGGAGGGATGACATTTTATGGTTGGTTCTGAGTGCAAGAGTAGACTGTGCCAAGTAATTTTTCAACACTCAGTTGGATTTTGTAACTCAAGGCTAAAAGGAAGCAGTCAGTAGACTGTTTTTAAACTATTCTCCATGAGGATGGTTCATGTAAATGGTTCAGTAAATGAACTTTATAACGCAGTTATTTTGTTTCTGGGACTTCTCTGTTAAAGCAAAGCAAGGAACCAATTGGTGGTGGTGGTTGGGTTTGAGTTTCTTACAAGACGAGGGGAGCACAGCTTGCTGTAGCTCATAAGTGAGTCATACACAGGAGAACAACTTTTTCAAAGAATGTTTGTTTTTTTCTTTTCAATAAAAGCTATTTAGTAGAAACAAGTATTTGTCCTACGATCTCAACTCTGGAGATGGGGGAATCAACTTTTAAATAAAGTTGCTCCATTTGTTTCTCAACTGTTTCCTAAATGTTAAAACAACAAAGAGTTTTGTTACTATAGCATAATTTTTTGACTGCAGTTCACTACATCAGGTGAATGGTTATTCTAGTTACAGAAATACAGTATATTTTCATATGGTGGGAGAAATAATGTACAGATTGTAATAATTACATTATTAATGGTAACCTTTCACACACAAAATATTGATAATAGGCATCCTGGCATTGGTGAGCAAATAAGCACATGTAGATCATAGAATTGTAGAGTTGGATCATGTAGTATAAGAGGAAAAAACACCTTTGCCCCAACAGTAGCCCAGCAGTTTCAAGTTGCAGTCTCATTTTTAAGTTCCTTTGTTCAAGGATGGCGGCATTAAGCTCAGTTAAAGAGTGTCCTGTATGGTTTCAAATATCCCTCTAATGCTTTCTGGATAATGCTGTTCCTGGTGTCCTTTTATTATTTCACAAAGAGCCTTTCCTATTATTTTACAGAGAGAGAGACTTCGCCGTTTGTCCTTTGTAGACCGCAGAAGGGTATTGCTGGCAGATGATGGCATAGATCACTTTGGAAGATGAGCAGATGCATCAGCTGCTAATGTTTCAGATGATGCCATTAGATTCCAACTGACCAATACAGTCACCAATACAACCCCTTTTTAAAAATCATAGCCTGTTGTGCTGTAAAAGGCCAGTGCTTACAGCTACTCTCTCACAGCCATAACCAGTGCTTTTTTTCTGGGGGGATGCAGAGGTACGCATACCCTTAAACATTTTGTTAATCTAAGTTTGGCCTCATTGAGGGGCAGTATTTCAGTATGAACAGGAAAATGAGAGTAGCCCTAAACATTTTAGGGGGGGAAACCCACTGGCCATAACTTTAAATGATAAATACTTGTTTATCATTGCATTGCAACTATTTTTATTTCGCACTATAAAACTACGGCGTTAGCCCCCAGGCACCAAGACACCTAAGTTCCCTTCTCTCAACTCCCTTCTCTTGCGGGGGTGCAATTAATGCCAGCACCGTCCGTTAAGAGTTTGGGTGTAATCTTTGATACCTCCCTCTCCATGGAGGCGCAGATTGCAGCTATAACAAAGGCGGCATTTTTTCATCTCCGCCAGGCTAAGCAGTTGGCTCCTTACCTCTCTCGCCCTGACCTAGCCACTGTGATCCACGCGACGGTCACCTCCAGACTAGATTATTGTAACTCGCTCTACGTAGGGCTGCCCTTGAGACTGACCCAGAAACTCCAGCGGGTGCAGAATGCCGCAGCGAGACTCCTTACGGGGTCTTCGCTGCGAGACCACATTCATCCGGTGCTATACCAGCTGCACTGGCTCCCGGTGGAGTACAGGATCAGGTTTAAGGTGCTGGTTTTAACCTTCAAAGCCCTATACGGCCTAGGACCCTCGTACCTACGGGACCGCCTCTCCTGGTATGCCCCACAGAGGAACTTACGGTCTTCAAATAAAAACATCTTGAAGGTCCCAGGCCACAGAGAGGTTAGGCTGGCCTCAACTAGAGCCAGAGCTTTTTCGGCTGCGGCTCCAACCTGGTGGAACGCCCTGTCGCAAGAGACAAGGGCCCTGCAGGACTTGACATCTTTTCGCAGGGCCTGTAAGACAGAGCTGTTCCACCAGGCCTTTGGTCAGGGCGCAGCCTGACTCCCTCCTTTGGCAATCTCTACAAAGCTTTAGTCTATGGTTGCCATCAATTTGTATTTTAATTAATTTTTAGAATGTATTTATAATGTTGTACTGTTTTAGTGTTGTTAGCCGCCCTGAGCCCGGCTTCGGCTGGGGAGGGCGGGATATAAATAAAATTTATTATTATTATTATTATTATTATTATTATTATTATTATTAAGTTCTGACCTGTCCAAAAGGCCTCACTCACAGGTAAAGCGGCACAGGTGGTCAGAGCATCGTGGCCCAAGCAGAGAGCAGGCGAAGTCACTCTTCCCTCACCACGCGACCTATTCCTGCATTTATGTGCCACGTGAATGATTTCGCATCACTTAAAGCGTTACACACAAACATGCATATCTGCCCTTGTGTGTGTTGTGTGTTATGTAAAGGCAACGTAGGAAGTGGTGTGAATAGCAAGACTTCATTTAATTAATGGGTTTGGGGTTTTTTATTTTAAAAAGTTTGAAGTTATTTGTAAAAAAACAAAAGAAAAATGGAGGAAATGCATCCATCCAGCGCTTTTTTTCTGGAGGGACGCAGGGGTAACATACCCCTAATCATTTTGTGAATCTAAGTTTGGCCTCATTGAGGGGCAGTATTTCAATGTGAGTAGGAAAATGAGAGTACCCCTAAACATTTTTTAAAGAAAAAAAAGCACTGCTCCATCTAACCCGGATTAGAGAGCCTTATGTCCCAATAAATGTTAGCCATTAAGTGTTGCAGATCCCCGGGATCTCAACCTGTAGGTCCCCGGATGTTGTTGGACTACAACTCCCATCATCCCTGAGCTAGGGGTGATGGGAGTTGTAGTTCAACAACATGTGGGGACCCACAGGTTGAGAGAGGCTGGAAGCCTGTTTCCTCATTAAAGGCAAACAGGTCTCCCACTTTCAGCATCAGCGGAGAAAACCTCCACGAAACAAAATCCAGAGGTAGAAAGCCCATGAGCCGCCCTGGCTTTGCCGCTGCCTTCTTTCTTACGGACACCGCTGCCGCCAAAGCCTCCACCCATCTCTAGGGCTGGGGAGGTCTGTCTTTGGAGGGGAAAGGAAAGGCCCCCTGGAACCGGAAGCTCGCTCTGCATGTGTCCCTCTACTGCTATTTCTAACTCTATGTGCTTCTTGCTCACCCCGCGTCCTTCCACCCCGGAAACTTTGCGAGCCGCTCCGACCCCTGCTGCCTTGCCTCCCGTCACGTGGCCGGCGACGGCCTCTCCCGCCCTCGGCGCTCGCTACTCTATATATCCGCCCCTCCTATATAGACTACGTCACGTGATTTTCTGCAGGGAGGCTGCCGGCCGCGGGTTGGGCAGAGCCGGGTGGCTGTGGAGGAGGAGAGATGGCGGCGGCGGGCCCTGGGAAAGGGGAGCAGCAGCCGCCGGAGCCCCCACCGCGGAAAGGGGGTGAACCTGCCCGAGGTATGGGGAGGAGAGTGTTATGGGGAGAGGCAAAGCACTGCGAAATGGAGGGGGTGGGGGAAGCCTCCTCTTTAGGGGGAGAGCATGAGAACCTGGGTGGATCAGACACACAGAGAGAATCCACCCAGCGCCCATCCCTCTGCATGTCTGCTCAGACTTAAACCCCCGCGGAGATAAATGAGGGTTTTGCTCATTTATGCACTGACCATGGGGTATGTGGGTCCGGGGTGTGTGTGTGTGTGTGTGTGTTTTAGTATCCCGCTTCCGGTAGTGGTCCACCCCATTGAGTGAAGTCCGTGGGCATGCCAGGGCATGCAGCTGTACTCTATTTATTTATATAATTATTTGGGGGGCGATATTATTTAATATTTGCTTATTTATTTTAAATCTGCCCTTTCGCCAAGAAGCACGTGGCGGCGGCATACAGGTTTCCCTTCCTACCCCCACCCCGCGCTCCAGCCTAACGGTGGGCAAACTGGTTGTTACTGGGAAGCCCAAAAGTTAGGGTCTGAAGACAAGGGGATCTGATCATCTGTTTTGTCGTCCCCCGTCCCCCCCGCGGCTGGTATTTCACCTAGCTATCGCAGTTGTGTGCAGATCTGTCCTCTGTGAGAGTTTACCTAGCTCCTTGTGTTATCCCTGATAAACGAGTCATTCATGTAAAGTTGGTGGTCCTTGCCCCTGGTCAAACAAAGTGAGGCATTTACCACCAGGGGTTTGTCTGGCACCATCTTTTTTGCTTTTCACCCAGGCTTTTCAAACAGCTAGTGTCTGGTCCTCTTAATTTTAAAACCCATGTTCCTATTGTTTTGTGTTGCCTTTTAATCGTTTTGTTTGTTTTCTGGGGTGCCTGGACAACTTAGCATTATGGGGCTTCTGTGTAAATTTATATAATGAAAGGCAAGTAGATGCCTCCTTGAACTTTACCGCCTAAATTTAGATCCATGTGGGGGTGGCTGAGGCAAGCAGTGAATGTGAGCAAAATGCTCTCGCACATAACAGGCTTTGTTTTGTTCAGGGATGCACATTGAACATTGTGTCAGACTTAACCGTTATGGAGGAGTAGCGGAATTGTTCAGTGTAGCAAAGGAGGTTTCTTATATTTTAGTCAAACAACTCTTTGCTCTGTGTGAGCTGGGTTAGTTAGAGCGTGGTGCTGATAATGTCAAGGTTGCAGGTTCAGTACCCTTATGGGACCGCTGCATATTCCTGCATTGCAGGGGGTTGGACTAGATGATCCTTGGGGTTCCTTCCAATTCTATGATTCTCTGCAGGCAGATGAGTGGATAAATTGTCTGGTCTCAGGCAGGGAGTTTGCCTAAGATACCTTATGGGGAGCTGTGGTGGGATAGTGAAGGAAGCGTGGAATGATTATCTGTGTAAATGTGCTGTAGAATACAAACAACGCATTTAGGAAAGGGACTGAGAAGCTCCGATTTCCGCATCCTAATCTTGTACATAAAGTGGTGGCTCAAGAGGTGGCTTCAAATCCCATTTCAGCTAATGACTACAGGCCACTCTATACAATATACTTGCCATGTGGACCCAGATTTTAAAAATCAGCCTGCCGTTGCTCTGTGCTTTTTCCAAATCACTCTGGAAGGTTGCTCCAAGCCAGCTTCTTGTGATGGGTGTAACGTGTAGACCTCGTCTCAGTCTTGGGCCCAACGCTTTTGTCTCAAGCTTTAAACTAGAAACAAAAACTGTCACCTGAGTCAGCCACTGTAAAGATGAATGACAGAGCAGTAAAAAACAAGAAGTGCCACGCAAATGATTAGTCATAACGATAAAAAAACACATTTATGAGAAACGGGAGTCTGCTCAGGGAAACGAAAGGCAAATGGGTTTGTTTACCTGGGGCAGTAGAGGAGGAAAGTCTTGTGAGCTTCTCTTGAGCTTCAGTGATTCTCCTGCTTCCATCTCCAGGAGAAGTGGGGAGTGGTCCCAGTGTGTAAGAGCAGATGGGATCTGGGGCTCTTGTTTTCTCTAGTAGGATAGAGAGTCTTCTGTGTCAGAGCATCATAGTAGGGAGAGAGAAAACTTTTTCTCCTCTTATTATGGCATGGGGGCCAGGGAGTTGTCCCATTAAACTGAAAAGTAAAAAATGCTTTGGAAAAAACGTTCAGTCAAAAAGTACAGCTTCACACAGTGCATAATTAACTTATACCTTTCACTGCCATAAGATGTGATGATGTCTGCTGTGGCTTTAAAGTGCAAGAAAGCAAATTCACGGAGGATACATAGCATTTCATTATGATGGAACCTATGTGCCCAGAGGCAGTATGCTGCTGAGTACTAGTTGCTGGGACGTTACACTCAAGGAATGAACCCACCCAGAGGACCATGTGATAATCTTCTGAGGCTCTTCTTCATGTGATTACTGAGAGGTCCAGAGGGTGGCCTTTTCTGTGGTGGCTCCCCATTGGTGGAATGCTCTCCCCAGGGAGGCTTGGCTGGCACATTTATTACATATCTTTAGGTACTGGACGAAAATGTTTCTTTTCAACCATGGGTTCGACTGATTAACATTCTATGGATTTTAAAATGTGTTTGTGGGAGGGGTGTTATTGTTCTGTCTTTGTTTCTGTTTTATTATGTATTTTATAGTTTGCTGTTGCGAACTGCCCTGGGAACTTGAGATGTAGGGTGGTGTACAGATTTTTAATAAAGAATGATAATAAAGGAAGGCTCTTGCTCCTGTGCCCTGTTTGTGGGCTTTGAGGGAGCATCTGATTGGCTGCTGTGGGAAGCAGCAATGTGGTTCAGATTGGTGTTGTTAAAGGGGGCTGCCCTATACCTAGGGACCATCTCTCCTCTGCCTTGCTTATTTTCACGTCATGCTTCTATCCCTTCCAGGCTCCAGATCAGATCAGATTCTTCAGACGGGAACTGTTCTTCTCAAGGGGTGAGTGCTCAGAACGGAAATATATCTGCAGGAAATGTCTGGAAGCTCACATGTACTGCAGTGGTGGGGGACCAGTGCCCCACCCCGGTGTTCTCATGCTCCCAGCATTTATCAGCCCAGTAGCACGTTTGGGGGTTGTGGAAGTCATAACCTCAACAACATCTGAAGAGGCGCAGGTTCCCTTACTATAGCAGAGCTTTCTAGGGAAGGAGGACATAAAGCCTTGACTTTTGTGCTTGGGGCTTCCTCTGGTGAGCAGTGGGATTGGGGTTAGCTCTCTCTGGCTGAAGACTTCCCTATGATCTCTCTCTTGCGTCCTGTGGCAGCTTTATCAGGGACCGAGTACAGTGCTGTGGAGACTCGGGACGTATTGATGCGACAATGGCAGAGCTCGGGGTCTCAGAGTCTGAGGCTTGTGACCCGAAAACCAAGCAGCTGAGCGATTGCCTGCGCCGAATTGGAGACGAGCTGGATGGGAACATGGAGCTGCAGAGGTGCGTTTTACTATCACGTGGGGGCGAGAAACCAGGGTAATAGGCCCTTCTTCCTGGTATTGTTTATCAGCAAATGGGAGTAGAAGCAGCGGAAGCACAATTGCCTTTCTGTCCTCTACCAATTCTGTGCCTCTTTATTGATAGCAAGGGGAAATGCCCATCCCTGGGCTGTGTATGCAGAAGAGGAACTTGCTTTTTCTTAGTTTAACTTGTTAACTGTCCTTCACCATAAGCTCCTGGAAAGATGCGGGATTAAAACAGCACGGGTAGGATTAAAAAAACAACACAAAGCAACAAGAGCACTAAAGCAACAACATCAGTAAAAAGTTACTTGAATCACAAAAAATAAACATTTGCCTGGGGCAGCAAAGAGATTAAAGCATGCACTCAGTGAGCATCTCTGGAGAGGACATACCTCATACAAGGTACCTGCTGCAGCCACCTTGTCTACCTTGTCTAACCTTGTACAGTTGTTATTATTACACTTTAACCAAGCATGGCTTCCCCCAAAGGGCCTTAGGAAGTATAGTTTGTTAAGGGAGCTGAGAGTTATTAGGAGACCTCGTTCCCCTGACAGACCTAAAATCCCCATACATTGGTACCTCTGGTTACAAACTTAATTCGTTCAGGAGGTCCGTTCTTAACCTGAAATCATTCTTAACCTGAGGTACCACTTTAGCTAATGGGGCCTCCCGCTGCTGCCACACCGCCAGCGCACAATTCTGTTCCCATCCTGGGGCAAAGTTCTTAACCCGAGGTACTACTACTGGGTTAGCGGAGTCTATAACCCGACGTGTTTGTAACCCGAGGTGTTTCTAACCCGACGTGTTTGTAACCCGAGGTACCACTGTATTTCTCTGGGAAGAGGGATTGATTGCTAAACCTTCTGGAAGTTGTAGCACTCGGTGGGGATGCTGTTTAGGTTTTGCACTGAATGCAAACCTCGCCACTGGGGTTTGGTTCACTCCGGGGATTCTGAATGAATTTGGACGTCTGCCCAAAATACCACTCCTTTTTATTCAGGGAAGGTTCCCCATTTCCTCTTCCAGCACGACTTGTACTTGGCCGCGTTTAAATCTGATGCTGAGTGCAAGCTGTGCTGCTTCAGCCAAGAGTTAAACACACCAAATGTTATATGAGGTCCGGCGCTAGACAGGTTAGATGGCCCCACCCACCTGTCAAATGTGGCCCACAGAGGCCACAATGAACCTGGCTTGCCAGCTGGAAGTGATTCCCCTGCTCGATAAGCATAGATGAAATGCAGTTCTATTCCAAGAACCTCTTGCTGTGTATGTTCGCATGCTTTGAGCACAGAGAGAGAGCACACCTGCAAGATCCTCTCCAGGTGATGCAGCATCAAAAGTGGGGTAGAAGGCAGGTTTTGCTGTGATTCCAGCTAGGCTAGGCTACTTCTCCTCCTCACCAAGTGGTTATTGAGACACTAGCTTGTTTTTCATCTTTGACACCTCCTCCCTCTTCCCCTGTCCTTCTGCATCACCCATTCCTGGCTTCTGTTTCTTGGTGGCCTAGTGTGTGATGAAATGCTTGAGGCTGGCCGAGAGAGAACTTACTGCATCACTGCATGGGGCGTTTGAGGACAGACAAGACCAAGTAAAATAGAAGTGTTTCCACTCCTTTTTCATGGACATCAAACACTCCTGCAACGGGAGACAGGATGCTGATTAGAATGTGCTTCTGCCCCTTTGGGGAACTTTGTGGGTGGCTTTTGTTTCATATTCCACCTGTAAATAAATGTGTTGGGTTTGTTTGTTTTTTTGCCCCCTTGCTTCCCATAACATAGGCTAGGCATCTGGGTATGGTTGCATTTCTTTTCTGGCATCCTCAAATTTTGCCAGGGCTCTTTTCAGAGTGCACATTTACACCCGGGCTCTAATATGCTCTAATTGGGATTTCATGCCAAGGAAGCCGGGTACCCACTGTGGGCCATCTTGCTTTGGAGTAGGGATGGGGAAACTGGTTGACTTTCTGATGTCACTGAACTTACAACTCCTCGACTGCTGCCGATCCGGATGGGGTTGGAGTCTAGAGGGCAAAATTCGGCTGGGTGACTTTCTGATCTCTTCTCTGTGGTTGACTCTCTGCCTTGTCAGATGCATGTCTGCCGAACTTATTAAATGGTATTAGCTTTTTACAGAAGCCTCAGATCTCTCTTTTTTCCCGAGTCTGCACTGAGCCCAAGCGCTTTGTGGTTTGTGTGGGAGGAAACCTCAGTGTCTTCTCTGCAGCTAGAAGCATGCCTAACCTGAGCTACTCCTTATCCTGTGTCCCCTGCAGAATGATAGAGCAGGTTCAGATGTATCCTCCCAAGGAAGTTTTTTTCCGAGTGGCTGCAGAGATGTTCTCGGACGGAACCTTCAACTGGGGCCGTGTGGTGGCTCTTTTTTACTTCGCTTGCAAGCTGGTCCTCAAGGTGGGTGTGTCATGTTCCCAGCCCCACCCCAGCTGATCTGGCCTCTCCTTCACTGCATCTAATGACGGGCTGCTCTTCCCTCTTTTCCCCTTTCCTCACCCTTGGGCAGGCAATTTGCACTAAATTACCAGAGCTCATAAGGACGATCATCAGCTGGACCATGGAATACATCCAGAACCATGTCCTGTCCTGGATTCAAGCCCAGGGAGGATGGGTGAGTATACAGTGATGCTTTTGGGCGTAGAAAATCTTAGGCTAGGAGTGGGCAGACCTCAGGCTGATGGAATCTGCTTGGGTTTTGGTGTGTTTTTCCCCACGAGAACCATACCAATCAGGTGGAAAACACTTGGAATGAAGGAACAGAGTGTATCTGTGTACATGAAGCTCAGCACAGGAATTGTGGTTTCAGTACCAAAAGTGAGCACACAAAGCCTTTAATAAGCAAATACACTCCTGGTTTTCCACAGTGCTTTCTCATTTACAGCGCCTAATTTTGTAGGGTGCTTATTCTTATTCTTATTCTTATTACACCTTAAAAGTGAACAATGGGGAACGAGGAAGCCTTGCAAGGCTGTTGGGTAGTCAGCATGATTTGAGTAGCCCATTTAGTGAGTATGGGTAACAACTTCAGTTGCCTTTCTTGCTGATTAGTTTATCATACCTTAAAAAGCTTACATATTATGGAAATCTGAATATACATCGCCTTTTGTTGATGTCTTTTTGGTGATAGGAACCAAGCAATTCTTGCGCCTAGATTTTACCTTCTGCAGCCCTTCCCCCCCACCCCAGTCAATACTTTTTTTCCTTTTGACTGATCTCTGTTCCTCCAGGTTATCTGGAGAGAAGAGTACCTGGTTGGGCCAGTGGGGGTGGTGTTGAAGGAGCAGAGGCTGCAGGGCAATAACTTGTGAGTGGAGAGAAGGAATAATAATAATAATAATAATAATTAATAATAATAATAATATTTATATCTCACCCTCCCCAGCCGAAGCCAGGCTCAGAGCGGCTAACAACAGTAAAACGATAAAACATTCTAAAATCATTTCATTATAAAATTAATTCCAATCAGATTAATGGCAACCATTGGGCTAGAGTTCTGTGAGAATTGCCAAAGAAGGGAGTCAGGCTGTGCCCTGGCCAAAGGCAGTCTGCTGGCATTCCTCCCCCTTCTCTTTTGCTGTTTAAAACTGTACCCCTCTTCTGCCCCTTTCTGCATGTGATTGGGGCAGATCCAAATACCAACACAGGGCTTTTCTCCCGTCACGGAGCATTACAGTTTAAGAACTTGTTAAGAGTCTCCTGCTGGATCAGTCAGTGGTCCAGCACTCTGTTCTCGCAGCAGTCAGCCATATACCTTTGGGAAGCACGCAAGCAAGACCTGAGCGCAAGAGCCCTCTCCCCTCCTGCAGTTGCCATTAGTGGGACTTTACTGCCTCTGACATGCCTCTGCATGCTTTTTCTCACTACTGCCATCCTTTTTTCTTTCCCTTCCAGGAAGGCCTCCTGTCCTACTTTGGAACCCCCACTTGGCAGACCATTGCTGTGTTTGCCGCAGGTGTCTTGACTGCCTCGCTGACCTTCTGGAAAATGTCTTAATCCTCAGCCCCCCCACCAAAGGGGGGCCTTTTCATTGTGATGACAAAGCGGGGGAGTCACTTTCCCCCTCTTTTTTTCTAATCAAAGAATGAAAATTGGCTAGGATTTTCCCCCTCCTGTTATGGGCAGGGGAGCCTTTAAAACAAACGCTGTCATTATCTTGGTGCCTTTTTTTTTCTCTTTTTAAGTGCACACCCTTTTTTCACCCAAGGAATGTGTACTATTTGGCTTTGCTTTTTGCCTATCTGTGCCTCTTAGGGTCAGAGGACATGGAGTGTGTCTGGGCTCTGGACTATGAAATGAAGGATCTGAGTGGCTGTTCTTGTTTGCTGGAGGGTCTGTCGACGCTGCTGAATTCCTGTTCAGTTTTCGAGGAAGAGGATGACTCTCTCAGGTGGCATCTCTCAAACTGAAGTGAGACCACTCTAGAAATGCAGATTGAGAAATTGTCTGAGCAGATGATAGTAGTTTGGATTTCAAGGCAACTCCTGACCCGGCTAAGAATCAGCACTTCCGAGGAAGTGAATTTAGGCAGAGACTCTGCAGAAACCGATTTGTTTGTTGGGTCTTCGTTTTTTCTGTTTGCCTGTCCTTGTTTTGAAGAAACTTCCATACCTGTTAAAACAGTAGGAATTCCAGAGCCTTGTTTCATTCTACCAGATCCATCTGTTTTTCTAGAGAAAAACTCTAGGTGGTGCTAAAGAGAAGCACTCATCCATATGCCCCAAGTCAAGAAAGCAAGAGAAGTGCTTTTAGAAAGCAATTGCTCTCCAAGTGGAACAGAAGACATTGCAAGAAGGAAATTCACCTGCTTTGTTCTGTCCCCTGGAAAAAGCTTTCAGAGGCTGGAGGGAGCCTTGGTGGCTTAGGAAGCAGAAGAAGTGAGGAGGGTTTGCAGGCTGGGTTTCTGTCTATCCCACAGAGTTTTCTCATCTCTTCTCCGTTCTGTATTTTAATGGATTAATTGTCCTCCAGGGGTTTATTAGGCAAAAGGAAAAGAAGACGAAAAGCACCAAACTGTTCTGGCAAACCTTCCTACTCCATGTGCCAGTGTGGAATATCTTAATCCTACCTGTGATGGGGCATTTGGCTCAGCGCGGCTTCTCTCCTTTCCCCCACATGCACAATGATAAGGTATTGTGACTGCATATCAGCACATAATGCCCCGTAACCTGTGCTACCGTGCTGGCAGCGCACCTTGAAACACGTGGCGTTTACTTTCTTGCCAACAGGTGCTTGGAAACTTAACTACTCACTGTGAGGGGGCAGAGCTTTTGTCCTTGCCTAGCAGTCTTGGGTGCCGTCTGCCTCTTTGTTCCCCTTTCCTCCAGTTCATCAGTTGCTCATCGTAATGGGTTCTCAAAAATACTTATTACCGGTCAGCATCTTCCCTGATGTTTCGGAGAAAGTTGTTCATGGCAGATGGAGACAGACAGGTGCGGGGCTGTCTGGCACAAGGGGGTGAAGGGTGGCAGAGAGCTGTGCTGCTGGAACTGCTGAGGTATATATTGGGTGGTTTGGGGGCCTGCTTTGCCCCGTAACCGGCCAAATCCACTTCCTGTAGTCCTCCTCTTAGTTAGACAACCTTTCAGTCACCAAGCCATCCCTCCTGGGTGCCAGGAGAGAGCTGGGTGCATGTGCCCGCTTCGAGGAAGCACAGGGGCTCAAAATAAGGCACAAGTGAATGGCTGGAGCAGTTTGGCCTTCTCAACTGTTTAACTTTGCTGAGGAACCGGATAATACTGCTTGAGGCTGGCAAAGAAGCTTCTGTCCCTGATTCCAGTAGCAGATGCTTCTCAGAGGCCATCTTGGGAAGGGGAGGGTGATGGCATACAGCAGAGAAGGGTCCAACAGAGAATGGCATTTGGGTATCTGAGTTGCTGCCTTCCAGATGTTCTGAGCTACCGCTCCCATCCCCCTCAGCCAACAGGGTGTGCTGGTGAGGCACAAGGGAAGGCTAGGTGATTCCATAAGCAGAGGCAAAAGGCTCATGTGGTTGCCAAGGCCTGTGCGGTGTCGGTGGCAAGCCTGTAACCCTCCAGGTGTTGTTGGCTGCAGTTCCCATCATCCTCCGCCATTGGCCAAGGCTGGCTGGGGCTGATGACAGGAATGCAACAACATCCGCAAGGTCACTCGTTCCCCGCAACTCGCGCAGTGCCTCCTGCAGAAAGTGATGATGCAGCCTATACACCCTTCCCCCACCCCCAGCTGTACACATATCTGACAGCACATACAATCGGCGCAGGATATGACACCTAGAAGCCCCCAGTAATCTTCCTTTACAGCCGTTGGGCAAATCGGTTCAGCCCGGTGTTGCGTCGTGAAGCTGGCGAGGAAACGAGGAGGGGGAAGTTTAAGATTTGGAGCATGAAATATCCCATAGTGGTGTGGGAGAGGCGGGTCAGGGAGAACCAAATGTACTTGAATAATTATATTGGGAGGGGGGATTTTGTTACCTCAGGGGTTGGGTTTGCGGGAGTGTAATGTCATTAAGGGAGGGGCTTGAGTTTTCCCCCATTGGGGTGGGGTGGGGGGACAAACAGGAAAATGCATATTGCTGTTGGGATTGGGATGATGGGCATCTGAAGTCTTATATTTGGAGTCTTTGATGTCATGACTTTGATGGGGATTATAGAGTCTGGAAGTGGAAATGAATTGAACTGGGAGGTTGGGGAGGGGAGGATTCTGAAATAATGGGTTTTCGGTGCTTTGATAATCTCAATATGTGGGGTGTGTTTTTTCTCTGTTTGTTTCACTTCTAAGGGCTTCTGGGGTATTAAGGAAGCGTGGTTAATTGTGCAAGAAAACGTTGGAGGGTTTAACTCCTGGGTTTAAACATCATTACCTGAGGGGCAGTTCATGTCTGGATAGGTTTTGTGTCAGCTACTCTGCAGCCTTGATTGTTAATTGTGGGTTGCATTACAAATATGCCAAGACCTGGGTTTGCCCCCTTCTTGGGTATGTGTCTTGCCCTGTATTTCTGTTCCCGAAGCCCCACCCAGCATCATTCTTTATTTTCTTCTTCTTTTTGTGACTAATCTCTTTTTCTACCAGCATCTTCAGCTGTTCTCTTGATGCCCAGTGGACTTGCTGCTCATCTATTTGGGCAAGTGCCAAAGGGGCCGTGGCAAACAACTGCTGAGAGGTTCTCTGGGTGTCCACATTTGCCAGCTAATCTCATGGTGGTGGAGGAGTTGAACACACAAATGGTCCTGCTGGATGGGCTGTCTCCAATATGGAGGCAGGCACTCGCGCCAAGAGACCAGGCCCACACTATGCATTTCAAGCTCTCTTAAATCATGTTAGAACAGCCATGGCTTCCTCCAGAGAATCCTGGGAGCTGTAGTTTGTTAAGAGTGCTGAGAGTTAAAAGAGTTGCTAGGAAACCTATTCCCCTCTCAGAGCGGTTTAACAATCTTTCTTCCCAAGGAACTCTGGGAATTGTAGCTCTGTGAGGGGGAAAACATCTCCAAACAGCTCTCGGTGCTTTTAACTAGCTACAGTTCCTAGGATTTTTTAGGGGAAGCCATGTGTGTTAAAAGTGGCATAGCATTGCTTTAAATGTATGTTGCAAATGTGGCATAAATCAGTCTCTCCTGCTTCTGAAATGGAGGTGAGCTGTTGGCAGAGGTCCTTAAAGCGTCAAGGCCAGCAAGCAGCGGTGGGTCAGCCTTCTCCTACTCCACCCTCCCACAAAATCTGCTTCAGGCTGACCTGAGGCCTTCAGCAATGGCTGCTTTTGTTTCAGGAGGGAGTGAGGGTGGTGAAGTGATAATGTTGTTGAGACAGGGGAGACACAAGTCCCTTAGCAAGGCCTCAGAATTTGTCAGTAGGTTTGCCCCCTCTGTGTCTCTGCAGAGTGCCATGTTATTTCATTGGGAAATAAACATTGAACAGTGCATATTTCTGTGTTTTGGCATACACTGCAAGAGATCCACAGCCCTGGAGCATAGCAGAGGGTAATAGGCCCCAATGGAGGGTACAGCCAACAGCAATCTCATCTGGCTGCCATGAAGCCAGCCTTGTACTGTAACTTGAAGGGTGGCGGTAGCTGTCTTAACAGTTGAAGTTGATTCACATGTCTCTTTCTATGCAATTGACCCCTTACCGACGCAATAGTTCCTGTACTTTTTTAAAATAAATCAGATTACCCATTTTATAATTTTTTTTAAGAAAAAAAAAGTTTGATACATCTTTTCTGATCTGTTAACTGTGAAGTTACAGTTTTTTGTTGGTGTGTGGCAATGAATTAAAAGATTTTTTAAAATTAAATTGCAAGTCTTGGGAGTTATTCATAAAGGGGGGGGAAGGGTCTGAGGGAGGAAATGACAAGCAAACTGTATGAGTACAACCTGCCAACTGACTAATATATGATGGACCACCAAGGTCCCTGCTGATTTCTGGGATTATTGCAAAAGGCTGCTGGGCCTTGGTCTGATCTAGCAAACCCTTTCATGTGTTCTTACATAAAGAATACATAATACTCGGTTTCACTTAACCCAGATTAGTTATGCTTTATCTGTGTTAGATCCTGAGTGTGCATGCTTGCTTGGTAAATGGAAAACCCAAGTTTGGTTTGAGGACTACAGAGATATTACCGTATTGGCCCAAATATAAGCCACACCTGTAAAATTAAAGGGGAAAGAAAAAAAGACAATACCTGAGGAGGAGCGGGGGCCAAGGAGGCAGCGCCTTCACTCCGGCAGCAGTGCTTCCATAGGGTCAGCACCACCATGGCTCCCCAAAGGGATGAGAGAGGCGGCGGCTGGTGGGACTCACGCCCCTTGGCAGGCTAAAGCCAGGCAGCAGCTCCGGATAGTACTAGTCCCAGCATACCGGCTGCATCTCCTGTTACTCCTCCTAGAATACCTTCTTGCTTTCACCCACACTCCTCCCTTCCTTGCCGCCTTCTGGCTCCCTCTCAGGGACCCTCTCAGCCTGCCGCCATCTTGGGAGCCCGCCCAGCCGAAACCAGGCAACATCCGGGGATAAGCCTGCTCCAACCCAATTTTGGTAAGGTCACAAATATAAGCCACACTTTTAACTTTTCACAATCAGAATTGGGGGGCGAGGAGGGAGTACGGTTTACCATATTTTTTTACCCTATAAGACTCACTTTTCCCCTCCTAAAAAGTAAGGGGAAATGTGTGTGTGTCTTATGGAGCGAATGCAGGCTGCGCAGCTATCCCAGAAGCCAGAACAGCAAGAGGGATCACTGCTTTCACTGCGCAGCGATCCCTCTTGCTCTGGCTTCTGAGATTCAGAATATTTTTTTTCTTGTTTTCCTCCTCCAAAAACTATGTGTGTCTTGTGGTCTGGTGCGTCTTATAGAGCAAAAAATACGGTATACTCGAGCCAATATGGTACAGTGGTACCTCAGATTAAGAACTTAATTCGTTCTGGAGGTCCGTTCTTAACCTGAAACTGTTCTTAACCTGAGGTACCACTTTAGCTAATGGGACCTCCTGCTGCTGCCACACTGCCAGAGCACAATTTCTGTTCTCCTGAAGCAAAGTTCTTAACCCGAGGTACTATTTCTGGGTTAGTGGAGTCTGTAACCTGAAGCGTCTGTAACCTGAGGTACCACTGTATGAAACAATGGACCATGCAAGACTGCAGCCTGACCACCAGGGGTCTCCCTCCTTCCCTCTCATCAGGCGGCCGCTAGGGAAAGGACACTTTCTATGGTAGCACCCAGATTCATTCATTTTTCTCTCTTTTCTCACCCTCCAGTTGTCAGGCAAATCCTCTCCAAGTATTTTATTCTGACCTGCCCTCTTCTGCTTATAGGAATATGTTGAGCCCTTTAATGGTTTTATATATAGCTACTGGCTTTGCTGCATTTACCTCTATTGCTTTATTGTTTCAATGATGTGTTTTGATTTTAAACCATATTGAGGCTGTTAGTGGCAAAAGGGGACAGACAGGGACACAAATCCTAAACTCAGCTAATTCAGGAACGGGGTAACACTTTGCCCCAACAGCCTCAGTTCCTTGTTCGCAGCCTTCTTGGGGTGGGGGTCCAGTACTGGGTGGAGCAACAGATGCTACTCTTACTGCTTTAAGGAAGGCAGCAGCCCAGTGCATGCAAAAATCAGAGGCTTCTATATGCATCTCTCCACTCAGGCAAGCAAGAGGCATGGTTGCAGTTCAAGGACACTTTCCACCCAGGCAAAGTAGGATGTGAAGGGGAGCAGGCATGGCAAATTAACAACACAGAGGCCACACTTGAGGTCCATTTTGACTGAGGAAAGTGCCAACAGCTGCATCCCTATCAGCCATAAAAGTCACTCGGGGGCAACTTGGGGCAGTCACTTTCTTTCGGTCTTGCCTACCTCGCAGGGTTGTTGTGAGGAAAACACAGTCTGAACTCCTGTGCTTACCTGGGAGTAAACTCCATTGAGCACCGTAGGATTTACCAAATATCCATATGGAATCCTGTTCTCACTCACTTTGGAGTTAGTCCCCCTGAACTCAGGCTGGCAAACCACGTCCTCCATTAACAGCATATGCCTAACGATGCTTACTCTGAATTAAGTCTCACTAAATTCAATTGAGCTTACTTCCTAGTGAGGGAATCTAGGATTATGTCCTTAAGACTGTCAAAAGCTGCAAACTTTTCTTTCTTTCTCTCCTATTCACTCTTTCCTTCACACCGTTACCCATTTTTGGCAGGAGAATATCTTGCCTGAAGAAGAGTTCTGGTGAACTCTAACGCTTACTCATTACTCTGCATTGCTAGGAGAGTTATAAACCTCTGGTGAGGGACATATCATGCTGCTTCTGGGGTACTTTGTCCACCTTTAGTCCCCACTCTGCACTCAGCTCTCCTGTGGCTCCTAGAAGCTGTCAGCATGGGTCAGTGGCCACACCCTGGGAACGGCTTTGGCTGACCAGCTTAATGAGGTGAAGGTAGCCGATGGGTCTCAAACCCTCAGTGAGTTAGGGACTTCCCCTGCATGAAAAGACTGGCTCCAGTGGATTAAGCAGACAAGACCAATAGCAAGTTCCAATGCTCAAGAAGATGGTTTCTGCCCGTGCTGTGAAGGTAAGTGAGGGGTTGTCAACCTGGGAAGGCAGCCCACCTAGAAGAAGGAACACTCCAGTCCTAAACCTCTCCTGCCTTGTGGGACATCTTTGGGAGAAGAAAAAGCTAAGGAGTAAACCCTACACAAATTCAGAGTGGAGTCCCTAAAATGGTTAGATGATGCCTTGTATGCCTCCTCCTAGCAACTCCTGCAGCCAAACGTATTGTTCTGCTTTCCTTTGGGGCCACACCAGCGAGTCCAAGAGTCTTGTCATTGGACCTCCATACATACCACCCAGGCGTGCGCCCCAGGGAGATCACTGCAGCTAGTGCAGAGGTTTGACTTCACCCCCAGAGGCACACGCCATTGTCTCTCGAGACAGATGGATGCCAACAACAATAAAGGTATTCTACTACTGTTAAGTCTGGCTTCTCTCTACTGAATGAGTGGCAGCATTCCTTTATTTCCTCCACTCTAGTCCAGTTCCAGTTGGTTTGACACACTGGTGGACTGGGCCATGGCCTTCTTAAGGAACCAACTGGCTGCCTGGATCCAGCGGCTGGGAGGCTGGGTAAGTAACATATATGGGCAGGAATCTATAGGGCGGGGGCGTTATTTGGACTTATAGTCAAGGAGTGGAAGGACTCTTCTGTTCTCAGAAGAAGACATCAGAAGTCAATAGCAGCACATGCTTTGCAGGTATATTATTCCAGGTTCAAAATTATCACTGTCTCCAGTTAGACATTACAGCAGGGATAGGGAACCTGTGGCCCATTGGATGTTTTTGACTGCAACTCCCATCTGCCACAGCCAGCAAGACCAACGGCCAGGGATGATGGGAGATGTAGCTGAACTACATGCGGAGGCCATAGGTTCCTGCTTGAGATTCTGGAGCATCTAGTGCTAGAGAGCTGCCAGCCATAGTAGACAATATTGGCCCAGATGCACCAATGGTGTGACTCAGTACAAGTATATGAACAAAAGAAAACAGTATCCTTCATTTCTATTGAGTGAACCTATTTTTAAGCTGGCCCTGAATCACATTTCTCTTTGGGGTTTACTTGTTCTGTTGAATTGCTGCTGTGGTGCCTCTTGGGCTAACTTAAAAACCATCATTACTTGTAGGTACTTTACAAAGAGTTTGAGCAGGGGGCAGGCATGCCACAGTTGTCAAACCCAGGCCAATCCTGGCCTACTTTTCAGATGCTTCAAATCTTTTCTAATAGCTTTACTTGTTTCAAAACTGTTCCATGGGCAGTTTGCATCTCTGAAGGCAAACTCAGCACACAAACACGAGGTTCAGAACCTTGGACAATTTCATTCATTGAAAGGGCAAGTTTTTAGTTCTTAAGACTGAATACAGTATAGGTTTGACAAGACTATGAGAAGTGCTTGAGGAAAACACCAGAAGCTGAATGGCTGCCACGACATAAGTTATTCTGTAGGTCTTCATACATACTTTGCTCCTAGAAGCAAAAAAGTAAATTATGCAAGTAACAGAGGGCTTCATCACACGTCACAGAAAACCAGGTTAAATCATTGTTAAGTAAACCGTAGTTAAGCCACAATCCCTGACATACCATTATGTCCAAAGTAGGGATTGTGGTTTATTTTGCCATAGCATACCACAAACAATAAGCAAAGAACAAACTTTGGGGTGGGCTATAAACTCATTGAACTTAACAGGCCTCCATAAGTCATGCCCATTAATTTCAATTGGCCTACTCTGAATCTGACTAGCATTGGACAGAGCCCTGTGTGAGTCGTTGCTGTTTTAAGGCTTGAAATGCCACAGTTCCTGATTCAGACATAATGCGAAGTCAGGGATTGTGGCTTGTTAACTCACAGCAGAAGTAGTGAGGAGACTAACAGCCCAGACCAGGATGTTCAGTGTAAACCAAGGATGGGAGACATAAGGGCCACATTCCTTTCTGAGCAAGCTTCTGGGGCCACTTGCCAGTGACGGGCAGGGTCAGAGGCCGAAGTTGGCAGAGCAACCAATGTGACTGTGGTTTATGGCCAGCATTATGTTCATGTGAATTAACTGTGTGGCCGCCTATTAATGGCAAATCGGCATTGGACAAGAGTGGACCCTGCTGCTGGCCTGCATTAAGAGTCATGCCAGAGAGTTGTATAAACCATTACTTGTTAAGCCAGTTCAATACTGTGTGGTGCCTGAATTCAGTAAACACACTTTGGATAGGTAGATAATTGACAAGTGTTTTAATCTAGTTTTTAGCTTATAGTTGATTTCAATTATTATTATTATTATTATTATTATTATTATTATTATTATTATTATTATCTTTTAAATAGTTGCTTTTAACTTTTTAAAGGATATTTCAATTGTCTTTTTTATTTGTACATATATTTTAAATTTGTATACAGCCCTATAACCGCAGGTCTCTTTGAGGTGGTTGTTGTTTTAAGCAGTCAAGTGGTATATAGATTTTATGAAATAAAATTAAATATAAATAAACAAGGTTAAAGTGAGAACATAGTCACAATACCCTGAGATTGGGGGTACTTCTTCGATGGGAAGAGACGAGTCTCTCCCCCCGCCCAGTCGCTTGGGAGATACTTTAAACATCAGTTTGCAAAGTTTACAAAATAACATTTAGAGAACACTTGGCTACTACTGCTGATATAATATATTTGTGAGTGAGCTGACGCTAGAATGACTCAGTTCTTGCTCTTCTCTTGCAGAACGCAATGCTAAACTGGAACCTGTTTCAACCAGAAGTGAGAAGGGAAAAGCCTGCGAAACACCATTGCTACTATCGAAAATTGTGCTTGGCTCCTATGGTTTGGGAAGTGTGGGAAGGAATTGAATTTGTTTGGGAGGGTTTTCCCCTGACCAAAATAATCAGAAAGTAAAAAAAAGAAACTTTTATTCTCTCTCTCTCTCCAGTACAGTAGTACCTCTGGTTAAGTACTTAATTCGTTCCAGAGGTCCATTCTTAACCTGAAACTGTTCTTAACTTGAAGCACCACTTTAGCTAATGGGGCCTCCTGCTGCCGCTGCGCTGCCGGAGAACAATTTCTGTTCTCATCCTGAAGCAAAGTTCTTAACCCGAGGTAATATTTCTGGGTTAGCGGAGTCTGTAACCTAAAGCGTATGTAACCTGAAGCGTATGCAACCCGAGGTACCACTGTATAGTGTACAGTTTAGAGTACTGGACTCTTATTGTGGCAGTAGAACCTCAAATGTCCGTTCAGCCATGAGGATACAGTACTGGGTCCCTTGTTGTCCCTCAGCCTAGCCTTCCTCACAGGGCTGTCGTAAGGTTCAAACTGGAAAAGTCAGGTATGCCAACGAGCCCTTTGGCAATGTTGAGGCACTAAGGACTCAGTCCTGCCTGGAAGTCAAACATCCTCTCTCCATAGAGCTCTTTCTTCTAATCCATGAATCTGAGGTAGCTGGTTGTGACTACCGCTAGGCACATTCAACCTGCTTAACTGTAATACTGTAACTTGACAAGTTCTCAGATGGCAGACTGTGATCGGTAGCTTAACATATATTAATGTAATTTAAACATGACAGAACATTAAACAGAAGCCCCAGATCTCGATTTCCGAAGATGATTTGTTGAGATACATGCAAGGAAGAGGCTGTTGTTGCTTGTGGCAAGGAGTCTTCCTGTCAGTATATGGAGGCTGGGTGAAAGGGGTCTGGCTTTTTGACTGCTGTTCTATATACAGTGGTACCTCGGGTTACATACACTTCATGTTACATACGCTTCAGGTTACAGACTCCGCTAGCCCAGAAATAGTGCTTCAGGTTAAGAACTTTGCTTCAGGATGAGAACAGAAATTGTGCTCCAGCGGCGCAGTGGCAGCAGGAGGCCCCATTAGCTAAAGTGGTGCTTCAGGTTAAGAACAGTTTCAGGTTAAGTACGGAACGAATTAAGTACCTAACCCGAGGTACCACGGTATATTGTCATGAGTGGGCTAACAGCTGTCTGTCACACATGCACACAGGTGTTAAGGGGAACGTTTCAAGTGTCCTGCAGAAGGAAAGGATTTTTATTCATTCATTTATTACATTTCTATACAGTGGTACCTTGGGTAAGGAATTAAATTCGTTCTGGAGGTCCATTCTTAACCTGAAACTGTTCTTAACCTAAGGTACCACTTTAGCTAATGGGGCCTCCCACTGCTGCTGCGCCACCAGCATACGATTTCTGTTCTCATCCTGAAGTACAGTTCTTAACCCGAGCTACTATTTCTGGTTTTGCGGAGTCTGTAACCTGAAACGTCTGTAACCCGAGGTACCACTGTACCGCCTTTATCTTCCACTGATCTCAAGGTGGTGAACATGGTTCTTCTCCTCCCCATTTCATCCTCACAACGACCCTGTGAGGGTTAAGCTAGGTTAAGAGATGGTGACAGGCCCAAGCTCATCCAGTGAGTTTCATGGCTGAGTGGGGATTCGAACCCTGGTCCCCTCCAAGTCATAGTCCAACACTCTCCGAGCTACAGATTGCCCTGTCAGCAAATCCACTTGCGGAGCACAGATTAACACCTTTGTCAGCCTCCTGAAATGCCAAGCACCTTCCTCCATATGAACTATAGCTAGCATTGGGGTTGGTTTTTTTCCTGCCATGTTCAGCAAAATAACATTTATCCTGAGAGATTACGGGTTGTAACCCCAAAGATGTCATCTGTTAATGAGTCCAATTAAGGCGATATAGTCCTGGCCGCAAGATAGAAAAGGCCCAACTCAGCAAGCCATGGGTGCCGTTAGTGGCTTTTAATTAGCAATTAATAACTTTCCTGCCTCAGGGCCTCCGTTACAGGCTTTGCTGACTTATCAGTTTGGAAAAAGCATTAGAAAAAGAGAGAGAAAAACAAGGCCCTGGTATTCCTTGACCTCTGCTTCTGCAGTCTCCTCACAGCAACCTAGAATTTGAAAATAAAGACTAGGCTGCTGGCCTGCTGATGAGAAACAGGTTGATACCTGAGTTTGTAATGAGGGGCACAGATCAAGATGGAGAGTGCGGTTTGCCATGGGCATGTTGACGCCAGCTAATCCAGTTTGAGCCAGTTTTATCGGCTGAGTGGAAACATGATCCCGTCAGGGCTGGGCCTCACGTAGGCCTTGTTAATTTCCCCATTTATCCAGCCTTCTTGACACTTTACAACCCTGGGTTTTGCTGACTCAATGGTGCTGATGAAAGAGCAGTCAAGCCTTGTGACTGTCACTACACACAAAGTTCATTTGAAAGGGGGGGGGGGAGAAGAGGATCCTCTGCATCTTTGAAAAGGCAGAGAAATCCAGTGTGGTGTGGAAGAAGAGAGATGTCATGGGGCGGTTAAGGGGGAGGATCATACATTGAGATTTGCAGACTCATCCTAAGTATGCTTAATTGCAAGTCCGCCTGAGCCGAGTGTGACTTATTTCCTCACTTGAGTGATTAGGGTGGACTTGTACATTTTGCCTTTGTTGAGTAGCCAGCCATTATATGTAGTGGCCACGATCCTCACCCCTGATTCCCTGATATCTGGGAGGTGGGTATTCAGGGCAAAGGCAGTCGCTACATGGAGTTGGTGGCCCTTGTGGGGTGCTGGACTAAATGGGCCTTTGGCCTGATCCAGCCACACTCTTCTTATTTTCTACCGAGTTTGAGAGGGTTAGGATGCTGGCTTCTGAATTCTGCGGGTGGAAATCAAGCCAGAGAGGGCAAGAGTTAAAAAGACAGAACTCCTGGGTTCTATGGGAGGAGAGACGATCTGAACCTAAAACTCTAGGCTTCACCAGGGCCCACCAGGACTGAACATATAGGAGAAGGCTGCTATACACAGAGTCAGAACTGGTCCATCTAGCTCAGCAATGCCCTACGCCAACTGGCAGAGGATTTCCAGGATTTCAGGCAGGGAGTCGTAGCACCGTAGAGTTGGAAGGGATCTCAAGGTCACACCAAAGTCAGAGTATCTCCCAGCCCTCCTGGAAGAGCTGGGGACTGAACTTGGGACTTTCTACATGCAAAGCAGGTGTTCTGCCACTGAGCTGCAGACTCCTTTATGTGTCTGATCCCAAGACATCCTGGGATACGACAACAAATTTCATTCACATGAATCGTTTATACGGTGGTACCTTGTTTCTCGAACGGCTTAGTTGTCAAACAAATCGGCTCCTGGACGCTGAAAACCCGGAAGTAAGTGTTCTGGTTTGCAAACGTTTTTCAGAAGCTGAATGTCTGACACGGCTTCCGCTTGAGTGCAGGAAGCTCCTGCAGCCAACCAGAAGCCGTGCCTTGGTTTTCGAATGGTTTCAGGAGTCCAAGGGACTCCCAGAATGGATTAAGTTTGAGAACCAAGGTTCCACTGTATGCCTTTTAATGCTGTTAGCTGTGATCCTGTGCAAGCCTAAACAGTTGCCTTTTACACTCAACTGTTTACAAATTTAGCAGCCTGCCAAGTGTGAACTCTCACAAGTGTTATGAAACTTTGAACCGTTAACAAGAAGGTTGACGAATACACCCTGAAGTAATAAAAAAATTATGGGCTTTAAAGAAGTTGTAATAGCACAGATACTTGCCCAAGGCAGTTATACAGAAAGGTTTAATAGACATAGCTGAGCCTCTTCACCTAAGATGGACGAAGGTCAGGCATTTAGATTTCCTACCCTCAGACTCAGGGTGCAGCCGGGCCCTTGGTACCTTCCAATAATTGCAATGAAGGGTGAAATTCAGCAAGGGGAGCTTTTCCCATTGTAGGGATCCAGTGAGGGAGAAGTTACATCCAGCCCAGTTCTCCCTCCTTTGCAACCTCCTCAGGCCCTGAAGCAAATAACAGCAAGCTACATATTGAAGCCATACAATTTGGGGGCAGAGAAGTTAAGGGTGGGGAATTTACCAAAGAAGGAAGACAGGGAAAGAAAAGATTGCATGTGCACACCATACATACAAAGCATGCTCACAGTAATTATGGGAACTGTGGTACACTCGGACCTACAATTCCCAGCACCCTTAACAAACTAACTCCCAGTGTGGTAACACCACCTTGTTTGTTACCCAGGTGAGGAACAACTGCCTTTTGAATAAATCACAGAACCAAGGAAACTAATTATCGAGTCCAGCACCCAGCATTTATTGCAGCTATTGCAACAGGACAGAGTTCACTCAACATGCCTGTTAAGAAAGTCTGCCCCAAGGCACATCAGAATGAAAGTTTATATAGTAGTTCAAACCCAGCACACAAAAGAGTCATAAAACATGGCTAAGCCTTCACCCCCACAATGCGGCCCAATGTGCCCAGGCCATTTGACCATTCTAGGTCTCAGATGTCACACGTTTGTACCCTGGTAGCTAAGCCTTCCATGGGGAGAGAAGAGCACCATTAAAATCCTCACCCACTCCTCTTCCTGGATCTCAGATACCTTCAAGGATAGCTAATTAACACTCTTGTTGCTAACTCATGATAGACTTAGCAAAACATTCTGCCATATGTACCACTATCGGGGTTGGATAAGGAAAGATGGAATACAGCTGTAAGGAGGGACATTGTCACAAATACAGAACACACAAAACCCAAGCCTAAAACATTCTATCTGAAAGTTAAATGCAATTTAAATTGAAACATGATTAAAATAAAAAATAAACACCTGGGGTTCCTAATTCTTTTATCACCAGGATTCTGTGGGACATCCCGAGTGCTTTCAAGGTGTGGTGTGTATGCAGCCTGTTTCTTCTCCAGGAAAGATGAGTAAGTTATAAGCAGTGAAAGCTGGGTCTTCCGGGGCTACATGGTGGGACAAGAATTGGGTTGGAAACGGGGATTTCCCTTGGCGGTGGTTCGTTCGGATAGGTAATTTTAAATTCTGCCCTCAATGGTATTCCACCCCACCCCCCTTTTAGAGGAGAATGTGCATTACTCCACTGGGAAAAGTTTTCCCTGTTGAATTCTTTGTTTCCATCCTGAAG